ACACAAACGCATATATCACGATCACTCAAGAGCCAGCTCAGCACATGGCGCGGCCCGAAACGTCGACGAGTGCAGAAAAAAAATAAAACAAATGTAAAAAAATCAAGGAACTGTTGAAGGCATTGTGGAATGCCGACGATTAGATACCCTGGCATTATAATTGCAACTGAAATTGAAGTCAGAAGCATCCTGGATATCTATAGTTATTTTTATATGTTATATATATTACGACTGATCATATAAAAGGATCAGTCACAAGACTTAACTCTATCTATGTCAACTTAAATATAAATGAAAATAGTTAACATCAAATGCTTCATTTTTGTATCTTCTTTAATACCCTATCTAAGGGCAGTTTGAAATCCAAATCCATAGACAGCCTTGGAGTGCGAATCGGAATCGGAGTACGAATCAGCGTCAAGAGGATTTATAACTAAGGGAGGGGAGGTCCATATGCTGCTGCCGCTGTTACTCCACTTCTTCATGCTTCCTCCTCCTCCTCCTCCTCCTCCTGCTCTGCAAAGGGAGGGGCAACTTAATTTTCTGCTCACGTTTGCAGTTTTGCAGCGCAAAGTGAGTGAAAAATTGCCCAGCTGCAGGAATGACAGCTGAATTATTATAAATCGATATGCTGGACTAGAATAGTACTTAACTCCATTCCACCATTCCACAGATTGGAGCGATCGGTCAGCGTTATTTACTTTGGAGCTGGGCGCAGCTTTTCAAGGGTAATGCCACGACGACGACGGCGCTCTTAATTAGCACATGTTGAAAAGGAAATCATTATGCCTGATAAAAATCACAAGTGTTGATTGCTGCAACTAGCAGAGCGAGCGCCAGGCAGGGGAGTGGCAAGTGGGCAACAAGTGCGAGCGAGTTGACAGGAAAAACTCACAGATCGAAAACTCAGATCGCATTTGGCTTGTTGGCAGCTCGCAGTTTGCAACTGGTAACTTGCAACTTGCCACTTGCAACTTGCAACTGGCAAATGGGGGAAAAACACTCACACACACAGAGATACAGCCGCTAAAATGGGCAAAACATGCACCGCGACCAGCAGCGCACTTATGTATCTGCCAGATACATAATGTATCTCTCTTTCTATGCATGTGGCATGGGGCATGTCGCTTGCACGTTGCACGTTGCAAGTGCAAAGAAAATATTTTTTGACGCTTTGGGCCGCTCCAAACTAGAAAATGTTGCTGCTGGCGTTGCATTCATGCGCGTAATCAAATTGTAATCACGGCCTGGACGAAGGCAGCAGCAGCAGCAGCAACAACAACTGCAACAGCAACAGCAGCTTTTTCTTGTTGTTGTTAAGTGGAAATACTTGTTGCACAAATGCAATGCGGGCTGCTGCTTTGGATGAGGCAGCACAGTGAAGCCTTGTTAAATGCAACTTGCAACACATAAAAATATATTATAAAGTTTTAAAACTAAGTCTAATCATAAGTCAATGTCATTTTAGGAATTAATAAACAACATATTATTATTATTATTATTTATATATTATTTATATATATATATATATATTTAATTTATTTATATGCAAGAGTATTTCTATATTCGATATTTGCAACATCTAGTTTTACATTTTTTTCCTCGACTTTGTTGTTGTTGCAATTGCCTTGTGCAATTTATTAAATGAAAAATGCCGTTTTACAGCTTTCCAAGTTGCATTGCCTGTATGTAGCTCTCCCTCCGCCCGCTTCCTTCTCTCGCTCGCTCTCTATCTCTCTCGCTCGCTCTGCTTGCGTGTGTATGTGTGTGAATTGGCTCTGGCATCTTTTGCAGTAACCAAATTGAATTTTATGCAAATTTTACTGTTTCTGCTCTGGCAAAAAATCGCCACATCTAATGCATAATGGCACGCATACTCTCTACACACACACTCGCACACACAGCTCGATCATTTAGCGGTTTTTATGCAATTGCGTTGGCAAATGCCAACGGCTTGAACCAAGAATTAGAACGTTTCATTTGAGCTACAGATACGCATGCATATCGTTCACATAATTGACGTTAGTTGCGCCGCACTGGAACGATTGGGAATAGAGCCCACTGCAACTAGTCCCCCCCTCATGACTAACGCTGCTGGCGCCACTGCGTTCGACTTTTATCAGAGACTAACAAGCGGCGTCCGCTTTCGCTAGGCCCATTTTATGTAAAACAAACGAGTTCGAGTTCAAGTTGGAGTTCGAATTCGTATTCGAATTCGACGTCGACTATCATAACCGGTAGCCATTGTCGTTGGCTGCCGTTACAATGGATTTGCTGATAATATGTGAACCCTCAATCAACAGACTTTGGCTAGTTTAAGAGCTGATCCCATATGACTGATGATCGCAGTTCCAGCAACATCATAATTTTTGTTGTCTTTTGACTTTTTATGTTTTCACAATGATCGATGAAACTGTCACCGAAAAGCAACAACAACAACAAAAGCCAAGCTCCACGCTTTACAGTTTATTGGCTAGAAATGTAAAAATAAAAAAATTCCACTGTGTCGCCAAGTTGGGGCAAACAATTGGCTAAAACTAGCCAAAAGCGTTATTAGCATGGCCAACAGCGACGCTGACGCAGTCGTCTTTGACTTTTTGTTTATATAAAAAACCGAATTAAAGAAAAAGTAAAAAAAAACAAACAAAACAAAATAACGCCCGTTGAAAAGTTGTACAGACAAGTGAAATACACAAGTATCTCAATACCCTACAAAAGAGCTGTTTCGACATGTTGCAAAGTTGGTAACCTCAACGATCATTGCTCTGCAATCTAAACTTATTAAAAAAGAGTTGGTTAAACTTTGCTTTAAACGTATACTTCGTATGTCTGTTATGTCTCAAATTAATTTCAATATCAAATTAATTTTCATATGCCAAATGCTTACATTCAAGGGTATTCCAAGTGCGGCCTTGCTGATCGCCGCGCTAGATTTGTGCTCGCCCCGAATGGGCCCCGAGGCTTGGCTCGCTTCGCCTCATGGTATAAATTTATTTATGGCTTATTGGAATTTTTGCGCGCTACCGGCAGCAATTTTTTTTCTTATTTTTATTTTTTCTTATTTTTTTTCAAATTCAATAACAGCTTGCATGCCGGCAGAGCGAGATGGAGAGAACAGTGTGTTAGAGAGGCGGCGAGACGCGGCAGGAACGAGACGGTGATAGCCAAAGATGGGGCGAAATAATTGTGGCAAAAATATGCGAAACGTGCAAAACACCAATAAATTGAACGAATAAAAAAAAATAATATATAGACAAGCGTACAATAAATACTAGATGGAACTACACACTTATTTTTAGGGGGATTTTTGTCGCTCATTATGGAAGCAAATTGAATGGAGGTTAAAGAGATATATTAAGAAATTGAGTTAACACAGAGATCGGGGAATGCATTACATTGATATAAGTATTGTGAAGGATCACCCATGTTATGTGTTATATAATCTAGATCCCAATGTTGCATATAAAGAGATGATCAATTAGTAAAACTGAATGGTTAAAATGTGTTAATTAAATCAATTATTTAAAATCAATCATTTTTAACCGAATGATAAACTCAACACCCTCAAATCCCTAAATATCACAATATATTTGCTTATTAGCTAATCTCGCTGCTATTCCATACAAAATCATGGCCTTTTTCCCACTTGGCACATGTTCATATACACATACATACACATGTTTGCACACATACACACATATATGTAGACACAAAATCAACTTGATGCATAACCCTAACAAAAATGCGCAGATGTTTCATTTCATTTCTCAAGCAAAAACGAAACGCTACAAAACAGCGAACAAAAAATTCCACAACGCTTTCGGTTTGTTTAATTCAGTGAAACATTTTGAACAATGTCCATGCGATTTGAAACAAACAAAGGGAATGTTTGTGTTAATTGAAAGCGTGAAGCACAGCAACACACTTACACACACACATCCAGTCACGCATATATACGAACACACAAACACATGCATAGAGCAAAAGAATTTGAGAAATCAATTATTTCGAAACTGCAAAATTCCTACATACATTTGCAATTGTTTATGGTAAAAAGACAGACGGCGTTTGTGTTGCGAGTGCGAGCGAAAGAGCTTCAGCTGGAGAGAGCGGGCAGTACACAAATATGTGAGCGAACGTCGAGGCGAAACGGCAAATGGCTAAATGTATCTATGGCCTGATGTGAACGTTGTCAGCTCCCCTCCCTCTCGCACCAACAACATCTCGCCGCACCATCCGATCACACAACTGTGCTTATTGCACACGCTCTCTCACATTCTCTCTCTGTCGCTCTCTTTCCATGTGCGCGCAGTGTGCATGTATGCGTGTGACATACACTCCACACAACACACACCACACACACACAGCTCTACACATTACGTATGAGGGATTTTTAGTTTTGCTTGCCTTTTATTTTGCTTTACGTTTTTTTTGCGGATCATTCGCTGAGCTTTATTTAACTTTTGCTCTCTCTCAGCTTGGCCCCCACTCCCCTGTGCCCCCCAAGAGCCCCACCACTGCGCCTTGTTGTCTGTGCCGACGCTCGCTGTGCCGTTCGCTTTGCTGTACATTTTTTTTGTTTTACATTTCAGTTTTTGTTTGTTGCCGTTGCTTCAGTTGAGTTCAGTTATACTTGGAGTCTTAATCATCACTTTGGAATGTTTACATGCTCAAACTTATTTCTTATTTCCTTTTATTTTTTCCCAGTTGTTTTTCATTTTATTTCGCTGCCCTGTTAAAATATGTAATTTATTTTGCTTTTATTGCTGTCGACTCTGCTGTAGAGGCTGCAGCTGCCGCCGCTCTGCCTCTGCTTCTTACCGCATTCCAATGCACACGCACACAGTCACACGAACACACACACACTCAACTGAGCTGGCAGATGCGCAACGCACCTTTTCTTTCCGGTTGGAGTTGGAATTTATATGGGGTTTTTTAAGGGCTTCCTTGACAAGACGTCTCTATAACTACATATTTATATATACATATACTGCTCTTACCGATCTCTGGGATCCAACCATGTGGTCTTTTTGTTGATGTGATCTATGTAGTAGGTCTTGCCATCAAAATCCCTGGCAATGTCCCAGCCATCCGGCAATGGGAATTCGCTCTGCTGTCCAGGCTGCTGATGATGATGATGTTGCACATGGTGATGATGATGATGTGGATGTGGTTGTGGAAGCTGTCGCGGCTGTTGTTGCTGCTGCTGCTGTGGTTGTTGTTGATTCGACATTTTGGCAAAAAAAAACTTGTCTGTCACTTGGCGCGCGTTTTTTCTTTCGATTTTGGCTTTTCGGTTTCTCTTGTTTATGCTATTTGTATTACTTTGCCTTGTGCAATGTACTACATACATACAACAACATATTTCCACGGACGCGATACACGATAAGCGAGCGAGAGCAAGCAAGCGAGCGATCGAGCGAGAGAGAGAGGCAGCTAGCAAGGCGCGGGCGCGCGCTCTCAATTATTTATTTATTTTTTTTCATAACTGCATTCCATTCCAGCACAAACACACACACATACACACTAATACGCGTACGCACACACAGGTCACACATACGCGGACAAAAACTCTCGCGCACGACGCGCGATCACTTTATTGTTGTTGGCTGTTATAGTTGTCGATGCTGTTGCTGCTGCTGGTGCTGGTGTTATTGCTGCTGAGGCTGTGTTGTTGCTGCTGCTTCTTCTTCACTCACAAGTCACACAAAACAGAGTGCAATTGAAATTCTGTGTTTTTATTTGCCTGCTTTTAATGCTTAATTAAAACTAATTAAAAAATAATTCAGCGTTTGCTCTTATTTCTTTTTTTCGAGTTCGCAACGCGCCAGCAACCGAAACCGATAAATATCAATGTAGCGTTGAACTTGTGTGTTATTATTGCTTGTGTTTTTTATAATTATTTATTGCGTACACATTCCCTAAGCAATACATCTAGTTTCGATAATTTATTTGCATTCAAACTGATTTAATTTTAGTTTCAAGCGACCGCACAACCGACCGCACGCTTCAACAACACATTCTACAATAACAATGTTCATGTTGAGCAACATTGTTCATGGGAACACTTTTGGCATTAACATTGCTATGTTATTCTAACAGTGTGTTCAAATGAACTGATGGTTCGCTCAAAATGGCACTGTTATAAATAATGCCAATAAAATACTTTGAATGCATGTGTCGTTTGCACAACACAGGTGTTCAAGGCGAGAAACTCCAGTTTGCAAATTGCATATAACATGATATGCTTACGGTTTAGTTATCTTATTCTTTAATTGCCAAGTTACAGTTGTTAGCATGAGGAGCAGTGCTACTAGGTGAGGAGCAGCATTTACATTTTTTAATAATAGACGTCAAATGTGGAGTCGTGTCAATGCTAGTGTGATAAAAATGAAAAACAGATGGCGTCAGTATCGATGTGTCGAATGGAGCGCCATCTGTGTGTTGCAAATCGATACCCTGTAAACAGTAGAAACGAAATCAAAAGCCGACCAGCACGCAGTAAGAAATTTATATATATGAATCAGAGTAAATAAACTAATTAAGTTAAATGAATAAGTCAACTTTGTTTCTTTCATTAGAATAAGTTTCTGGACTTTTCTTTGTGCTTTTCGCCTTTGTTGTATTGTTGTCGCAGACACTGTTATTATTTCTTCTTAATAGGGGCAAATGCACTTTGCAACACTGTTTTGTAATGGAATTTTAATTAGCTTTTACAGCAGCGCACCTTTTTACGTGCTCACACACACACATACACATACCTATATATATGTGTGTATGTGTGTGAATGAGCACAATTACATGTTAAGCATTTTTGCATGCATTGCAAACAACTTGCTCTCTCTCTCTCTCTCTCTCTCTGCCTGCTGTCTCTCTACTCTTCGCTCTGTCGTCGCCTTTGCTGCGCCACCTTTAATCAGATAAGGACACAAGGTGTAGCTGCCAAAAGGGGCTGTCACGCCCACCCACACGACCAAGCAAAGGCCGTTTGTTACGATTCTTTTTTTTTTGAGGTCTGCTAAATCATTCGGAACAAGAAGATGAAGCAGATAATATGGCAAACACAGGAAAACAACAACAACAACAACTAAAAGGCAAAGATTTTGATGAAGCAAAGTTTATTTTTTTATTGAATTTGTAAAGGCATTAAAAAATGTGCATTTTAATAACGAATAATGTTTTCATAGCTTATGTTTTATTCTTGTGGTAGATCGTTAAAGGAAAGAGAGAGTGGAGACAGCTTGAGAGAGTGAGAGGCAGAAAGAGATAGAGAACTAGATAGAGTGAGAGAGACGGAGAGAGAGAAAGAGAGAGGTAGAGGAAGAGAGACGAATAGAGCAAGAGAGAGAGCGAGATACATAACAATAGAGTCAGAGAGAGGGGGAGAGGAAAGAGAGAGTGAAAGAGAGAGAAAAAGCGGTAGAGAGTGAGAGAGAGAGAGAGAGAGAGAGAGAGAGACGGAGAATGAGAGAGAGAGGTACAGAGAGACAGAGGAAGAGGAATAAGGAAAAAATAAATCAATGCAAATAATCGATAAAATAATGAATTGAATAATGAATGAAGTAAAGTGAAAAAAAAAAACAGAATTTCAGATGTAGGAAATATAGAATCGATCAAGAGTACCTTAACCTCCGACATATACAAAATCTTGTGCTTGCCACTAAATTTATTTTCGCACTACTATTTTTATGAACAATGCAACAGATAGTACATATATATAGATATGTGCATATATGTAAAAAATAATATTTTCTATATATAATATGTCTAACAAATTTGAAGTAGCTAAAGCTTGACTACATTAACCCAAGCTTAACGATAGAAGCATTAAAATCGATATTTATCGATAGTCTTAGTATGCACACAGATGTTGTATTCGAGATGGTCGAGCTGCTGAGCTGACTAAATCATATCAGCATATTGAAGAGGAAAGAGTAGTGTATACATACATTAGCTGAAACCAGTATACCCTGTTCACACGCACTCAATGGGTATAGAAACAGACAACTGAAGGATATATAAATGCAGGTCTACGTGGCATAAATGTTCATTGTGAATGATGTGATCATGGTGAATGAACAGAGTTAAAACTATGCTCACTAATGGGTACAGGGTATTCTGGCATCGGGCGAGCATAAATCATAATTAACTAAGCGCAGAAGCCAGTGCGATGCAATCAGAGTTTCAATTTGTTTATGTGGAAGCTGCAGTGTCAAAGCCAGCGTACGAACTTTTCATTATCAGCTCATGGAGAGCAGAGGCAGGGAGCGCAGCAGCGAGATCTGAAGCAGCAGCAGGAGATAGCTGCATCGAGCTGCGCTAAGAGCTGTGCTACGATAAACGTTCGACAGGGAGAGAAAAACTTTGAACACGGAAAAAATGAGGACCTAATATTAATGACACTCCCAGGCGACGGGCAGAGCCGAGCTGTAAACCAATAACAGGACTAACCAGAAAGTTACCAAACAAACATGCAGAGCGAAGCAGTAGAGAGTGGGTGGAGGCATTGGCATGCAGTTTGTAAAGTGAAACTTGAGCTACATGGGACACCCACGCACTCCCACACACTCGCATATCTGCACACACGCAGCTGCACACATGCCACCTGAGCAGGCTAGGGTCATAATCCCCTTGCACAAATACCAACAAACATATCAACAACAACAACAAGAGCAACTGTCGGACAATCAACTTCGACTAAAGCAGGTTTCCACAAAACGGAAGGCCAACTGCACTGCGAGAAATAAGTGAGAATTTGTAAAATGAAAATTGAATCAAATTTTGCTTTTCGGAAGTTTTTTATCGGATTTCAACAATGTTTCCGAATTAGATGGAGTTTAGGATAGCATAAGGCAGCATACACTGTTCAAAATTAGTTGCGCTAAGGCAATCAGACTATGGCTGGGCATGGACCCAGAAGCTTTTGCTCAGCTAAAGTCAAAGCCATATTCTATCAATTTTTCTTGGTCTATGAAAACGAGTTTCCAATTAATTGTTTCGAGTGTAGATTGTGGTGGGCGTTAGCTGGATTGGGCGTGGCTAGGCAGACGACAGCCGATGCTATTTGGTTTCATTTTGCTGCTGGCTACGGCTACGGCTTGGGCTTGGGCTTTGGGTTCGTCCCGGCCACAAATCGCTCGCTAAAATCCATTTTGACTTTAGCCATGCCCACGGCACGCCCCGGAGACTGCACTGCCATGTGGCATGCGGCATGTGGCATCTATTGGCAAGCGCAACAAATTAGATTTCAGCGCTGTTTTCATTTCGGGTCTTGCGGCTAGAAACAAGTCCTCAGCCCTGGCCACAAAAGAGAAACACCGAAATGCCACCTGAAAAAAAATGAAGACAACCGAAATCCTGTCCCACAGTCAAGGTGACATCGACAGAGCCAACGCAACGCCACGTGGGGGACGCATTTTAAAAGCATCTCCATCACAAATCCCGCACAAGGAGCTTACGTGTGCGACCTGGGCATACCCTAATCAATCGACATGCGGCTGCTTAAGCGTGACAGGGTATCTGCTGGCGGGCATAGACTTCGCTTTGTGTACCACAAAGGACTCGCCAGATCCCAAAAGATTTGCATAGCGAGACTCGGCTGAAAGCACATATATAAATCATTTATGGACCGAGAGCTGGCTCACTTTGTTATAAGCCTCATTTCGTAAGTAAGGGGTATCAGAATGCTACAACCGCACAGAGACACACACCCACACGCCCACACACCAGCAGCTGGCATACATTTATGAACTAAGTTCCTTTGCCACAAATGTTGTTATGTTATAGTTGTTATACCCTGCAACGGTAGCTTAGCAATAGTTGAGCTGTTCAAGCTGCAAGTAACCAGGAGAAGGAATCTGCGCTGTCAATTTAGGGTAAGTGGCATTGTTCATAAAAATAGTAGTGCGGCTGAGCTTTAAATGTGACCAACAGAATTTTATGATAAACACAATTTTTTATAAGCAATTTGAGACGTTTATTAATATTAACATATATTTTATTAATTGGGCTATTTTTTGGTTACAAATTTGCTCCTTGGGAAAAATAAATGAACTATTTGTAGCTGTTCATTAAAATAGTAGTGGCTGCTAAAAACTGACCTAAAACTAGTCTAAAATATAAAATATTATTGTTTTAGATATATTTTCTGTTTTAATTTCTAATTGTACAGCTTTTGCCACCACCTGACAGCTGTGTGGCATGCAGTCGTTGAGCTCCAAGCAGCGCCACAGAGCAATTTGGTCCCATGCCTTGCTGCCACAGTCGATGGCTTTGCTGTTCCCATTGCTCTCTAAACATCGCCTCAAGGGCTTTCTATTGGAAACTGAATTGGCCATGGCCTGGCGTCGATCTCTTTGCACCCAAAGCCTCTCTCTCGTCTTCATCAAGCCAGCTCCTATGTTTGTTTCGTTATCCTGCTGAAACAGGAACTCAACTATAATGCCCAAGCAAATAACTTTTCGCACATTAACTCAGCTGTTGGCAGGGTATCTGCTAGTCAGCCACAATTCAGCTTTCAGCATGCGTCTTTGTAGGTCCTGCTACTCCTGATATTAGTCCTTGGTGGCTAAACATGTCGTACGAATGCCGACAAAGGACGACAACATGTATCCTTTTTGGCTTTCAGCTCATTTGCTCCCTCCGCTGCGCTCTCTAATACACTTACGCCCACGCTCAGCGCTTTTCACTTAAAGGTAACTCTTGCACGGCTGCCATTTACTATACACAAATGATCAACATAAATCGTGTGCGGCTCGAAGTGTTTGGGCAATTTTTAAGCCTGGATTTTGGCCTATTTTGTAGCCAATTTCATTTGCTCAGTTGGCCGTGTGCACAACGCGCTAAAATGTTTTATGAGCCCGCATACTCGCTGGCAAATGCAACAGTGTTTGGCCATTGATTGCACTCCATGACCCCCTCCCCCCTGGCTGGACCCCTGCAGCACCTCACGTATACCCAGCAGCCAAGTTATTATCTCAAGTGCCGAGTTGCCGAGTTTGTTTTTGTTGCCGCAAGTTTGTGTCCTGTTTGT